AGGGAACAGTAAAATCTCTTTGCATTTGCTCTGTAGTTTGTAGTTCTGAGGTGAGCTAACCAGGACTGGGGAATGTGATGTGCTAAGCCCATGAGTCTGAATGAGGCTTTTGCCCCACTTTGCTGAACAAGAATTGTCTAATAATGAAAAAGAATTGCAGTTTGAGCTTAATCAGATACTAAGAGATTTCCTTGTTTCTTAAATGGAAAGTTTCCTAGAGATTTCAGTTTGAGGCTGAACAATATATTACTGGGCATGAAGTGAATTGTAAAATTTTAACATCTCTCCAAATGGCTTCCCACAGCTCATGTATGGGGTTTTTTATGGAGCTGAAGCAAATTAATCAGTTATAATAGCTTTAACTGGATGTTGTCCTAGCATTTCTTACACATTTCTGTTGAGTCGTGGCTAGAAGGCTTTGCCTATTTTGTGTTTTTTAAGGGTTGTTGCTATAACCCTGAAGCCTTTCCAAACATAGTCCTGCCGAAAGCTAGCTACTTACTTCTGGTTTACATTTTGCCAATTAATTCAAAGTACTCTAATAAATGTTGGTTTTCTGTGTGTGTGTGTGTGTGTGTTTGTGAAGCACTAATTCAAAGAGGGAGGTCAGGATTGTTATTTCAGTGGTGCGTGAAATGGGATGGATGTTAGAAAGCAGCAGAGCAAGGCATGTGCCCTGCCTCCAAAGCAGGCAGCAGCAAAGAGCTGCATGAGAAAAGTGGGAGAAAAAGCAAAGAGGGAGCCAGGAGCAGAACTGTAGAGAGCTCCTTGAATGACAAAGTACATGTGCTAATTTCATATTTATTGCTGAACATAAGGCTTTTTACATGAGATGATGCAAAGCGTGGCCTTTGGAAGTGCGCAAGTAGGGAGTTTTCCAAGGTGAAGAGATGCTAGAGGTAGCAGAGGGGATTGATTTCTCTTGGATTTGAGAGCATCTTCATAGGTTTGTGGCTGCATTAGTTAACAACGAAGAGCTGGGCGGTGGGGATGGGCCTTGGCCTCTCTGTAGTTTTCCAGCCATGTGGTATGTGGTGGCTACAGTCCTCTGCATGCAGTTCTCGGTATTTCCAGATGCTGTTAATTTAGTCCCTGTTTCCCTGCAGTCCTTCGCACATTTGTGCCGTCGAGCTCTCCAAGCTGGCGGGTTTCCGCACCGTGAGAGCATTGCAGATGCAGGGATGCACTTGCTCCAAGCAGCGCGAGGAAAGGCAGCTCCGCCCAGCCAGCCCCGCCAAGGGGGCCCTGCAGGCTTTGCCGGGTCCCCAGCAGCCCGGCCGAGCCCTGCGCTCTCTTTCAACCAGCGAGGTTTTTGTGCATCAGCTTTGGCCAGTTTGTTATGGTTTAAGGCTGGGAAGCCAGCTGTCTGCAATCTGATGTAATGTTGCCCTGGAAACCAGAAATGAAACACGTTAGCATTCACCACAGAATTACTACATACAGCATTAGCCAAAGTAATTAAAAGTTGAGCCATATGGGCTTTCAGATGGAAAAATTTGGAGCAGAGGAGATGGAAGTTAAGTTGCTCCTGCTTGCAGTACTGCAAATTCATTTGTTTTCCCCTTGAGGGCATGGGGAGAGACCTGTCTGGGCTGTGTGCAGGGGGACGGGGAGATGGAGGGGCTCTAGCTGTTTTACCAGCGTGTTAATGATGCCAAGGCTTGGCCTCATGGGACAGCTCTGTGCCAGAGGCTGGGAGGCACTGGCAGAGGGGGTGCAGCATGGACTCCTCCAGTGCCGAGAGCCTCTGGCTGAGCCTTTTGCAGACGCATCATCCCCTCTTTAACAGACCATGTCTACCCTTCTGCAGTGCTGCAGCACACTGAAGTGCCCATGAAGGGGGAAGAGGGCAAGAGGGGTCTGGCAGCTGGCTACATCTAAGCTCTGTGCCAAGGCCTGGCTGCTAAAGCTGTCCAGGAAGCCATTTGCCCAGTCTGCCACGCTTTGGGGACGTTGGGGTGATTTTCCCATCTAAAGTCAGGGACAGCTACCAAAAAAAGCAATTCGGTCCCATGAAAGAGGGGAGGGTGGTGTGGGTCAGGGAAGTCAAAGCGTCGAAGTTCAATGATTTCCAAATATGTCAGTTATGGCCAGAATGCTTTACATTAGCCATAAAAGAAAGCATTGCTTGAGCTGGAAAATTAAGCTCTGTTTCCCATGTGCCAAAGTGGAAACTTTTGATAATTTCAAGGCCTTTCTTAAAAAAATGTTTCAAAAACAGGAAGCAAGTAAAAAGTAACCCTTTTTGAAAATGCTTTTATCTTCAAGGAGTCAGCATTATTTGACAAGAAAGTTTCCTGAGCAGCACCACCGGTGTAGTCACTGACATTTTTAGGCCTTTTTGCATAAACTTACTGGCCATCCTTTTTCTTTGTAGAAGATTTGTCTGTCACATACTACCTGATATGATAGGAAATAGGCTTCTAGACAGAGAGTGATCTTGTATTTTCATCTACCCATAAAACATGAGCTGTTCTCGCCTATCTGGGCCAAGCACCGGTGATAGGCAGGATCTGTTGCTGCTGGTGGAGGATCCCAGCTTAAAGGACACCAGGAGTCCAGAAGCATCAGGGAAAACCAACTGCCACTTAATTATGATGGGACTTTATGTATTTTGAAGTATGGTGGGCACTCTCTGTACTACCTGCTGGGGTCTGATGTCAGTACCTTGCACTGAGGCTATTTTGGTGCTTGCTTTTGCTGTAGTAGTTGTGAATGCAAATGTCAGACATTGCAAAAGTTTTTGTTGTTGTTGTTGAGTTTTCATAATCCTGAGGGGGCACAGTTCTTTATCAGATATCAGTGGTGCAAAAGTAGGACTAGATGTTTATTCTTCAATGAGGTCCTTGGTGGGAGGACGAGGTATGAGCCGTTCTCTAAGTCTTACAGACCTCACGGTTTCACGAACTTGCAGTAGTCTGCAAACCAAGGGTGTACGAAAAGTAATGATGGAAAGCAATGCTTTAGAGTAATTGTGTTTAAAATAAACATATCTTGAGTGCAGAATATGCATGATGGTTGCTTGCCAGGATGCACTTAATAGCCCAAGAAGTCTTGACTGAACTTCTTGATTACAGTCAATAATCCATTCATCATCTTATCTAAATATGTCTGTCTTGTTTGATGTGTCACCACATTGTCCCAGGCATAATCCTTGAATTAATGCTCATCTTGTTGCTTAATTTACTTTGATATAAGCAAGCCTGGTACTCTTCTTTACAGCCCTATTTTTCCCAAAGGAGGATTATTAATTACCTAGCCAGTTCATACCCATAATAAATGCATTCATGCAATTCTTGGATGACAGAATGGCTATTTCTAGTGCCATATGTGATCCATTTGGTATCCCTCCTTCTTTTTGGAGTAACACAAGGTTTGTGGGAAATCAGTAATTGGTAGTGCCCTTGCAGAAAGTTGTTGAAGTTTACTGTGGTGTGGTTCTGGGGTCCCTGTGCAGTGCATGCCTGGGAGGTAGACTTTTAGAGCTGCCCTGGCTCCATTAGGCACTGTTTGTGCTTTGAAAGTGTACCTGTGCAACTGCTAATTGGTGTCTTGCCCCATGGCATCTACCATTCTTACCACATCCTGATATTTCAGTGCACTAGAAAAGCAGAAAGCATTTTTATATTTGGCCTGTTTTATTCATCCTCCAGATAAGCAGACAGCATTTTTGCTGGGAAGAGAGTGGCTTTTTTTTTCTTTTTTTCTTGGCTTGCATCTGTTGGGAATTCATTTTTTTAAAAAGTTTAATTAAGGAGAAGGCGAAAAAAAGGATGAGTGCATTGTGGAAACCCAGATAGCTGCACTGACAGGAAGTTGCATGAGGGTTTTTAAAGCTGACCATTAGGAATGCGGCAAATTGGCTGGGACCGTGGGTGAAAACAGAGTTAGGTATACAATCCATACCGCACTCCAGCTGGAGCTTGTGCTGTGTGCAGGAATGTGCAGCAGCGCATGGTGCCAGGGTCGTCCTGGCCAAGTCGGAGAGCCCTGTTGGCCTCCTCTCCTCTCCCCTTCCCTGCCCTGCCCCCCACCACTTTCCACATTCTGAACTGATTAAAACAGAGGAAGTAGCACGTTGAACGTTGGATCTGGCTCGAAAATCGAAGTCGTCTTCTCGTTCACAAGGAATGGATTGTTTCAGCTTGTTGTGTCACTGCTGCTGGAGAGAAGGGAATTTTTTTTTGTCTCTGTAATGTTTGATACTTGAGGGAAAACAGCTGGAACTGAGTATACTGGATCAGATGCAAAACGAAACGGGATGCTGGGGAATATGGACTGCACTGTATATCTGAAAAGGTCAGAGTTTTCCCTTGGTCAGTGCTGGAGGAATGCTCTGTCCATCTTAATTCCAGCCTCAAGAGTCTTCAGGAGGAGTGTAGGGAGCAGGGAGGAGGAAGGGAATATTTTGTAGTTGTGGCAGTTTGTGAGTGAGGCAGATGAGGTCTCCTCCTTCCTTTCCTTCTCATCCCTTTCTTGTGCTGCTGTTTTTGATTTTCTGGGAAGACTGGAGGGGAAAAAAAGAGAAGTCGTCAATGACAGAGCTTCGGTTTGGAGAAGCTGTTTATAAGCAGGTTTAAACAGCAAGTTCTGAGGTGCCAGACAGACCAGGGACTGACCTAAACCACAGGAGCATAACTGGTATGGTAAGAAGAGCCCTGGGAAAGAGCCCTGCCTGAAACGCACTGAGAGAGGACGTGGAAGTAGTTATTACACAATGCATGTGAAGAAAGACAAGGGCAGGAATGCATTTCAGTGCCTAGGATCTTACGTTGCACAGATTTAGAAATCAAAATGGTATGTCATGCTTTCAGAAAAAGAAAAAAAAAAAGAAAAGAAAACAAGAAAACCCTCAGTAATTTAAATATTTCTGTCTGACTGGGGCTGAAAATATAACATCAGTTACAGAGCTGCCTTGACAAACGCAGCAGATGAGCTAACTTGAAGGAGCAAGCCGTGGAACTACTACTTTATTAATATTCCCTTTGTTTCTTTGCCAGTCAAGAGAACAATCCGATGATGAAACAGAGGAATCGGTGAAGTTTAAGAGGTTGCACAAGCTGGTGAATTCTACTCGCAGAGTCAGGAAGAAACTCATAAGAGTTGAAGAAATGAAAAAACCCAGCACAGAAGGTAAAAAACAATGTGCATATGGTTAAAACTGCATGTGTGAATGCATGTTTCTTTTGAGAGGAGACAGAAAGTGGAGGGCTGGGGGAGGGAGGGGTGGAGTGTTTATCCCTCCTCAAGTGGAGGGATGGTAGGAATGACTGCCTTGTCTCTTGTGCATGTCCTAAGTAATTGAATTTTTAGACTGTGGAAGGAGGAAAGCGATAACCTAGAATGTGGTTACTGCTGATCTGGTATTCTTAAAGTAGCACTTGAGAGTCCCTCATTAAGAGATTAGAACTTGGTTTATGTTTTATGCCGCATGCTGGGGAGGGAATCCCCATGCTAGGAGCAATGCCAGCCAGCTGCCCCACAGGCTCAGCAAGGACGTTAAGTGGAGCCACCACTACACTGCTCCCTCCTCTGAGGCCTGGGATGGCACACAGGTGAAGCCCTTGCCTGTTTTGGGAGGGTAGCAGCAGTTGCACCACATGGCATCATCCTATGGCAAAAATACAGAAACTCTATCAGACATTCTTGTGGAATAGCAACTGCCTTGTATAATACTAAATTCTACTTCTGGGGGAGCCTGCCTGCAATTTGGCTTTTGAATGAGACCTGCTCCCAACAGAGAGGGGGAGAGAAGGGAGGAAGAGGAGAAGGGTGGGAAAAGGGAAGTGGAGTTCTGCCCCTGGGAACACCATGCTGTAGAATTAACTCTGGATGACCTGTGTGTGAGCACTCAGATTAATGGAGCCTGATCCTGAGGAGCCTCTCTGCACAACCCTGCTTGAGTCCTCACTGGACTTGTGGGCACCTTTCCATGCTGGTGGCTTTCTTGGCATGGCATCATATGCCAAATCCCTTCATCTTAGCAGTGAGCTGAGCCATATTATGATTCCTTCCTAGTGCATTTAAGGAGAACATGTGCATCTTGCATATGTGGCAGGAAGCTGCTGGCAGATTTATGATCTGGCCGGCATCTCTCCTACATTATGGATGGAGTTACTGGCTGGTATGAAAGGCACAGCCAGTCTAGAGCTCTGGAATGGGCAGGTGTGGTGATCTGAAAAGGTTCTGTCACCTCATAGGGGGAGCATAAAGCTGGGATACCATGGAAGTGAAAACATGGGGTTTGAGATGGGACAAACAAAACAGGACTATTTTTCCCCTGCTCTGAGTAAAGAAGGCCCCCAGAGAAGCCTGTCCTACCTCCTCCTTCTCTCTCTCTGGAAATCTGGGAAAAGCTGCAGGGAGCAATCAGCTGGAGGCTCCAGGGGTGCCAGCAGCTGCAGAAACAGGCAGCTGGGCATGCAGACACCTTCCTGCACTTGGACCAGACTTTCTTTTCAGCATATTAAGTATCTGTCTTGCTCTCCATACCCTCTTTTACAATGCCTCACCTCTTTATTTCCTCTTCTCCCTCAGTCTTTCACTTAAGTGTCCCAGTTCCCTTCAGGGCTTGTTTTTTTTTTTCCCAATGAGTTTTTCCACCCCTGCCTTTGGCAGAAAAATCACTGAACTAACAATTGTATGCAAAAAAATGTTTGCTCTTCTTCCTTCTTTCTCCACCTCCTGCCTGTCTTCTCTAACTCTAGGCTTCTCTGAATAAATTATCTGTAACTCTGAGTTTGTACTTTATCTACCACTCTGGAGTTTCTTTGTAGATTGGCTCTTGGGAAACTCTGTAGAAAAACCAATTATTGCTAAATAACAACATGGATTACTTCTGAATAACTTCTGTGTAAGTAGAAGGCCCCTTAAGTAGCCAAGTCTACATCAGCAGTAGATACCTATGACTTTTTTTTCAGGAAATTCCACACCCAGGTTTCCATGTGGCATATTAATAGTGCTTCATAAATGTTCATCACAATCTCTCATAATATAGGTCTGTATTCCCATTTGGATATGTCAGAGGGCTCTGCATGACCACAAAAAATACAGTGATCAGATTTGGGTATTGCTGTCTGGCCTTCCAAGTTACCTGCAGTTGACTGGATCAGTTCTTGAGCTGTTTGCTGCTGTTCTCTGAATCTGTGTTATGATTCTGATGTAATGTGAAATTCTAGATGACTAGGTTTTGGGGAGTTGGCTATAGTATTTGACTGAGTAATATCAGTAAAATTTAAATAAAGTCATTAATGTTCAACAGCCTTTAGCAAAATGTAAGACTTGTTTTGAAAACTGGCATATAGTTTCCTAGAAGAAAGATTCTTCACAATCCTCCTCAAAACTTTCTTCAGAAAGAACAACTTTACAAAATTTCCCTTATCTGTTCCTGTAGTTTTTAAAGAAAAGCACACTAGTCTCAGATCCTTCTCTTACATTTCTATTATTGACTCTGTTATCCCACTAAATGTACATCTGGCTGATCTGATACTTACTAGAATTTGTCAATATCTGAATCCTGTGGTTTTTATCTTAGTCTGCTCAACTGAAGCTTCCTAATTCCTGGGCACCATTCTTATGTAGCACTTAAAAACACATCACATCTACATCTGTGTCATTATGGCTTTGTGTCATGGACTAACTCCAAATAACATCTGTTACAGTTTTGAAACACAATGCATATTCTACAAGCTGTTTAAAAACATATTTACTTAGTGGACTAAAATTGTTTATCAGCACATACTCGGTCCCAGGAGAATGTCTATTTTCCGTTCAAATTGAGAACTAGAGGGGGAAAAGAGCAAGCTGGACAGTCCAGGGAAAGTGGTGTAAAAACTAGACTTCAGTCTACAGACCTACCCCGATACATTTCTCAAGAGCGAAAGTTTCATGTCAGATGTGATCCACTATCCCTCCAATGTCACAGTGATCTTAAGCTTGATAAAATAGCATCTTAGATTTCAACAAATGTATGTCACATATGTTTGGCAACAGAGTGAACTGAAGATGAGACAGTAATTCTGTACAGGTCAACTAATCTTTCATCATAAAAGGTGTCCCCTGTTATTGAATGAGTAAGTTCAGTAAATCATAAGTATCTTGATAATTGTTCAAATTTAACTCTGCTATAAGACTGTAGAAGCAATCAAAGATGAAGCCAAAGTTAGGTCACACAAGAAATCTATTTTGGAAAGAAATAAATACAATCACGTTTCTATGTGCATTTCTGATATATACCTATGAATGCTGTGAAATTTGTCAGGGAGACAGAGGAGGATATGTACTTTTTTTTGACTCTTACCTTTTTACTGCATCTAATACCTGAGACTATAATTTGCTCAAAAGAAAACACCAGAGAAAAGTTTCCTATATGATAAATGTGAAAAGGAATTGCAATTTCAAGTCTTTTATTCTCCCCTTTCCACTCCAAAAAGGAAACCTGGCTATCTGCCCATCTCCAGTATTTGTGTTGCAAAATATTCCTCTTAAATATTTTCTGGAACAATTTGGTGAACATCAAGTGTTTCTGTCATTACCAGGACACTGCTGAAATTGGCACACTTGCCATTTGACCTACTTCTTTGTCTTTGCATCTGTTAAATAAATTCTGTGTGATTGAAACTGCTGCTTCTTACCCCATCAAAAACCCAGAATTTTTAATTTCATCCTGGAGCTCATCTCCATAACTTCATGCAAAAAATACTGCTTTCTGCAGCCACAGCAGCGCTGGGTATTGGAAAACTAGACCTGAGAGATACTTGTTTGGTTCTTAATACCTGGGTATACTTCGACCTATTATAGATGAGCATCATATGCAAATATCAGATGAAAAACATGAGAAACAGATCCCAGTTCAGCTTTTAAGGAGTTCTTAGTGAGAGCATCTAAGTGGTCTTACTTAGCTGCAGATAAAATAATTAAAATAATGATAAGTGTACTTACAGGATGTTGTTGTCTGTCTTGTGTTAACTCATCCCAGAACTCTCACTTCATAAATGGAAGGAACTGCTTCAGGTCTATCCACTCACAAATAACTTCTGAGCAACTTATATCAAGAATAGTTTTCTTACAATTTAAGTGGGTGATATCCTAAATAAATACAGTAAGACTCTCCAGGGAAACATCTTAGAGAATTGCGAACAATGACATGCATTGTGCTGCTTTTTTACCATGTAGGTGTGGAAGAGCACTCACTTGACAACTCTCCTATACTGGATGACAGATCAGCACTTTACTCTGGAGTTCACAAGAAGCAATTCTACTTTGACGGCTCCTGTGAAAAGCAGCCAGAGGACGACTCTGACTCACTTACTACTTCTCCCTCATCCAGCAGTCTTGATATGTGGGGAGCTAACCGGAAGCTGGTGAAGACCTTCAGCAAAACTGATAGCCGTGGCCTTATCAAGCCTCCCAAGAAACTTGGGACATTTTTCTCTTACCCAGAAGAGGAGAAGTCCCAGAAAGTTTGCCGCTCCTTGACAGATGGAGAAATGAAGAAGAGCCTTGGCTCGCTGAGCCATGGGGTAAGTACAGAAAGCATTTGCTTTTATGACAGCAACAGGCACAAGCACCATCTTCTGGTGTCCCTGGAGGAGATTCAGAGTGTAAGGAAGCAGATCCGATTGAAGAAAATGGATACTAACTATTCCTGTTCCAGAGCTTTTCTTTGCCAGCGCCCTGCTAGGAAAGGAGCATCCCCCACAACTTGCGACCTGCAATTACTGCGGCACAAAACGAAAGGGGGTGGAAGTTGTGGCTTCCCAAACAGAAGGCTACGAGGGCGCACTTCTGTCAGCGAGTTCAATATTACCTATGTGGTGGAGAGAAGCCTGTACAGTCACCTCAACCTCTCACAGCTGGTGCGTCCCGTTACTGACAGGACCCTGAGCAAGGCCGACAAGCAGGACCTGAGGAGATGCCTGCTGGAGGAGGATGAGGAGGCCAAGAGGAAGTGGGCTGCCACAGTGGATCGCTGTACTAAAAGGGTTCTCTTGAGAATCCACCAAAAGTCTGTGAGTCAAAGAGTTGCCGTGAAGGTGGTCTTTCAATTTCTGTGAGGTTGCAGTGAACATTTTCTGCTTTATACTTTTAACTAAAATGTAGTATTTCTGCTTTCCTTGCCATTAGAAACCCTTAAGCACTGTAATGCAGCTGAAAGGGAAGAGCTTGATATCATCTTGTCAGAGAAGAGTTTTGTTGAATTGCAGTTTCTACATGTACAGAATTACTCGATGAGAGAAAGCAAATATGACAAAGTGCTGCTTTTTAGGTTCACCTAACACAGAAATAAAGATCACTGGTGAACAGAGGAGGTTTGAGGTGCTATAAATATGTTTTTTGTGATGCTTTTGGAGTTGGTACTCAATGGGATTCTGAGAGATGAACAAAATGTTCAGAGTATTAGAGCATTGATGTTCAACTGTGCTCTATTTCTCTTCTGCTGTTATTGTCTTATATTGGCCCTCCCCTGCTCAGATTGCATCTCATCAGTATCACTTCTGTTTTGTCAGTGGCTACTGCTCCTAGCATGGGATGAAGGTGGCACCTTCCTTCAGAGCATTTGGAAAGGGAACAAGGGGTGACCAAAGTAGGAAATTGTGCTTAAAATGGGAAAATAGGTGATTTGAACATTCCAGAGGGACCCAAAGCTGCTTCCTGATTATATGACCCAGTTTTGACTGTTCCGTTAACCATGATTCTGAGTTTCCTAGGAACTTGCCTTTGGTGCCAACCTGATCTCCAAAGCCAGCTAGTCTGTTGTCTAGTTGATAATGATCCCTACTTCAGTGCGTGGAAACACCACTGCATCTGTAACGTTAAGCAAGATATTCCAGTGAACAATATAGTAGAAACAGCTTTTTCTGCAGAATAACAGATTTTTTTTTGAGGCCTCTGTATCATTTCTTCAGGTATAAGGTACAAGAATCACAGCTTTGGTCTCCTTGAATAACCTGTGGGAGATGAGAAAGCCCTCATGGTTCACTTTTTGCTCTTTGGCCACAAAATATATAGATGTTTGTTCTACCCAATACCATGACCATTCTCTCTTGGCAGCTTAACTATTTTTTCTGCATTGACTGTTTGTCCCACCCCTCACAGGGTGCTGTTTATTGTACTCAGAAGACACCGTTTTCCCATAAGGATATTACGATGATAAGAGAAACCTTACTTGTCCTTCTGTGGATTGAATAATAGGGTTATTTTGGAAAAAAGAGCATACTTGTATGTTCTAGAGATGCCTCATAAATAAAAATACCCTCTAAAACTGCCTTTGTAAATACAGATGATAGAAACAAGCTTTTCAGTTCTTCTAATAACTTAGTCTCATCTTGCTGTAGTAATTTCATTATGGAAACCAACTGGAGTGACCTTTACTAATTCATGGAGATACAGTTGGAGAAGAAATGGATAGCGTTTTGTTGTTGTGGAGGAACTCCTCAGTCAACTGCTTCTCCAGCCTTGTTTGAATCAGATAAATATTGGAGACATGCTACTCTTACTAACTTTTTCAATACATTTCTTTCTGAAACCTCAAATAGCTGGCAGACTTCAACTAATGATGCTCCTTCCTAAAAACACTTAATTTTTTGTTTGCTGCAACCTCAGGGAAATTGCAATGCCTTTGTATTCAGTGGAATTGGTCACTCTGTCTTTCCTTGCCATTCATTTTTGTCATTTATATTTGTTTCAGTGACCTGGACATGCATGAAATTTTCAAATTGCATCAGTTTTTCTTTTCTCCCAAAATGATAATACTTTTGATTGCATGGCCATTCCATTGAATATCCCTCTCCTCATCCACAGACCTTTTGTTTAGTGCAGTATTGCCAGGGTCGCTACTGGAATCTGAAAGCAGAAGTTAAATTTTAAATGTATGGGGAGGTCCATAGTGAAACAATAAGCATCCTTAATATGGTACATTTACTCAGAAGCTTTTAACCAACGATCATTTTGCTTTCCAAGAAGACTTCTTTAGGAGGAGCTCTGGCTGGTTTGACAGACAATTTGCTCAGAGCAGTTCCAGATGTCCTCTTTTCGTTGCTGGGATTACCATGTGCTATAGGATTAGTTATAACAGTCCTTCACAGAAGAACCAAATTACTACTAGCTAAACATGCTGTGCTTTAGAAACTGATCATATTGCTTGTGGTTGGTCTCAAATGTTTTCCAAAACCAATTTTTAAAACCTGTGCCATAGTCACATTGCCTTCTGGAAAAAAAACACTTAGAAAAATTCTACATCACAGCGCTGTCTTTAATGTGTGTAAGGCCTAGACAAAGCTGGCTTTGAGTTGTGATAGAGTTGTGGTGGTTGCAGAAACTGTCATCCAAGCATGTTTGGTGTAAGCAGCACCCAATATAGAAGCTAGAAAATAAAATTTTTTAAAAGCCACTAATATGTGTGCTGATCAGGGGTGAACAGGGCAAAAAGAATGTTTACTTTATTAAAATTAATTGTTATAATTGTCCATTAAGTAGCACAGTTTATAGAGCTTGCTTCTTCCTCAGAGAGGAAGCTGGTAGTTCTCAGGTGGTGGGTCTTCACTGACTCACCGTCCTTTGTAGTTCTGATCTGATGTTAAGTTGATTCTTCAAGAGCCTTTGAAGTTAAGTTATTGTGTTGGGCAGTTCAGACCCTAAGAACTTAGAGAGTTCACAAGTGTTGAGCTTCTGCCTCCTGTTTGTCTCAACTCTAACTCTGAAGAGAATACTTGTAATAGACATCTGCCTGTCTTCAAAACCGCTCTCAGAGCCTAGAGTTGAAGTTGTGCAAGTGAATTGTGATCGCCATACCTTCATCCCGGATTGTCCTGTGAGACCTCTGACAGGGCCAGTTACTTGAATACTATGCAGCCAGTTGTTCATTACTCAGGTTTTGTTATCTTTTGGATTGTCAAGCAAAAGCTGGAAGTACCTAATCTGGAATCAGGACTTGCTGAGTCTCTGGGGACACAATGCTTATGGTTACCGGGGCTGGTTTTTCTCTTCTCTTACCGAGGGCTTGCCCCACTAGGCTTCCAGCAATTCCCTATATTTCAGTGCAGATGCAACCTGTGCAGCTATTCCCAGAAGGTAGGTTATTCAACACTTTAAAGGACTGGTGCTTCTCTGTTTCAGTGCTACTGTGGAGCATACATATGAAGGCAGATGGGAGTGCTGAAGTGGAGTTGCCAGCACCTTGGAAAACTTGAATCAACAGTTTCCTCAGACCAAAAAGTCTTTTTTTCTTTTTAAAGAGTAGGCAGTAGGTGACTCAACAGCAGCAGACCTTAGGCCAAGGAGTTGTCTCTGGAAAACACAAACTGCTTTACAATGGATTTCTTGATTTATAATCTCTCATCCCTTTATTTGTTTGTTTGTTTCCATTTTTGCAGACATTTGTGTTTTAATTGGTGTTCTCCTAATCACAGATGTTCTGAGTCAGCTAGTCATTGTGATAAAACTGTATCTATACTTGGTTTTTTGCAGAGAACCTGTAGCTTTGGAGGATTTGACTTGACAAATCGTTCCCTTCATATTGGAAACAGTTCTGACCAAATGGTGAGTTTAAGAAGGTGCAGATTTGAAATAGTATAAAATGAAATGCACAGTCAAGTTATAATAGACTGAAGTGTAATTTAGGTCTGTAATAATAGTTTGGGGATCCAAGAAAACAGAGTGTCTTTGTTAACCTCAAACTTCCTTAGCTTTGAGAATAACATACCCACCCATATCCATGTGTATATAAGTATTTATATACCATATGTGTAAAGAGGCAGGAACAAGTGACCAAAGTGCAGATCTGGGGGCATATCTGTGGGCTGTTCTTAAGTGTGACTTCCTCAGAGCATCACCCAAGGCAAAACATATGATTGCTATACTTTCTCAGTAAAAATATTTACTCTTTGGGATGATGAGGCAAACTTTCATTTACTGATGATCCGCAAGTTATTTGCATGGAAGTCATTATGTAAGAGATTTATTATTTGTTTTCTCGTTGTATCTAAGAGCTCTGGAGTAGACCGGGATCCCATTGTGCTGGGTGCTGCGCAACTGATCTCAGAGCATTTTTGTGTTTAAAAAAAACCAAACCATCTCCCCTGAGAATTAATTCCATTTTATGTTACTCATGTTGATCCCAGTGTTACTGTTGGTCGGCCTGCAGCCAAAAGTGACAGAACGGAAATGAGCCAGAACATTATTTCAAATGAAATTGCCAACATATTTTTTCCTTTTGCCCATATATGTTTTTCTTTTCTGTTTCAACATTGGATCTGATAGTTTCTCCGTCCACTTAAATCAAAATTAAATTGTGAAACATTTTGTATGCCAGCATTATGTTATTTTTTATGTCAGCTGGGTCTTTTGGGCTTGTTTTTTTGTTTTCTTATTAATTTTTTAACATCAGAAATAACTGTAATTTGGCTAAATCTGTGGATGGTTATTTTACTCATCAATTTTCACCTCAGTAAAAATGTTAACTTCTGATCTTTGTATTTATCTTTAAACAGAGATACTTGTTTTGTTCAGATTGCTTTTAACATAAAAAAGCGTGAAGTCTAGATGTTACATTTTTCCCTATGAGCATCAGTAGCGGGTGAGATGCAGTGCATCAGAATAATATATGCAGATCAAAGAGGTTTTTTCCTTGGAAACATTTAAGTCTATTAAGTGGAAGGTTTTTTCCAAAACGATAAGGCAAAGAGCTGTTCTTAATTTCTGGTAAAAGACAAAATTCCCAAAGAAGATGTAATCACAAACAACTTGTAAAGGGAAAAATACTGCATTGTCAGAAATGATGTATCAGTTGAATTTCAGATAAACTTTTTGTGAGAATATTAGTAAGATAGAAAACATACATAAATTTAAGGGGGGGAAAAAGAGAGAAATCTGTTATGTGGAATATAATGTCCATTTATTTTAGGGTTTTCTGGTTTTCTGTCTTCATGTATCTAAATTGAATCAAGTCAGAGACCAAATTCAGTAGAAAATCTCTTTGGCCAGATGGATTTTGGTCCTTTTTTGTGCTCTGATTTTTTATGCATCTTTGCCAATGGAGGGTTGTAGGGATAGCTCTAAGAGAGCTGCCTTGCTATGGTTCCTGAAACAGAGTAGAATGAAAGATCATTTTTAACATACTGCCTGGACAATCTGAATAAGGGCTGAATCATACGAGTAAGTTTGGCAAAATGTCTTCTGATCCAAGCTAGGTGTGTGCTTGTGCCATAAGTAAATGCTCAATATCTTAAGCTGGTTTCGAAAAGGTTAAATGCATTCAAAGCAGCTGGTCATCCACTATATATGGACCAGCTAATTTAGTTCTTCAATACCCTGTTGTGTGCCTTAAGAATAGCTGTGCAAGTATAACCTACCATGGTTGATGGATTTAGTAGCTTTTTTGTGGTGGTATTTTGGTTTAGTTTTTTTATAAACAGCCTGCAGTAAAACCACATAGGTTAATGGAATGCCTGTCTGAAAATAAAAAGTAAATTTGGGGAGCCAAATATAAGTATCCATATATATATATACACATACAGATATATATTTGGCTAGGATCTCAGAGGTACCTTTAGTCTTGTTAAGCCCTTTGAAGTATTGATCAACGTGAGCCACAACTACTGTTGTGTGTCCTGTCAGGACAGGCTTAGCCTGAGACAGTGTGGCTTTCTATCAGGTCAAATAGTTACCTGAAACTCAGGGATAAAGGCATCCTAACAGACCCTGACACATCTACACACAGTACTTTCACGAAAAGGTTACAAATCAGGCCTTAAGAGTAAGTTACAGTGGACTGCTACAGTGGTTTGCACAAGGTCTCAACAGTTGACAGGACACCATGCTGCCGTCCTGTGTCTGCCGGGATACCTCTGCAATAACTGTGACTGAGGAAAAAAGGGGCTCTTCTATTTTATAGGTTTAAGCCATGTTTTATTTTGCAGGGCAAAGAAGGAGACTTTGTTTATAAAGAAGTGATCAAATCACCCTCTGCTTCCGGTCTCTGTCTGGGCAGGTATGTGGAGTCTGTAGTAGAATCCATTTAGTAATGGATGTGTGATAATCAGTATTGATTTCCATGCATCAAGGCATCTCTGAAGAAATTTCTAACAAGACTATATGGTGTGGCTTATTCCTGTGTTCTTATAAAATCCCTCACTGTGAAATGTCTTCCTATAGATGCCAATACCATGGAAAATGCATTTTCAGATTTTCATTTAAGTAGCTCATCAGCAGAAGTCTGTCATTGATGACATCGCACATCTCACTATTTCCATTTCTTTTCTATTGTGTTTTGTTAAGGGAACCCATCTGTGACACAGGGTCACAGTAATACATTTAATCTGCAATTTATACTTCAGTTTAAATTCCCAGCATAACTTCACATATGCAGCTCCTCTCTGCTATTACAGATCTTTCCTCCATCATTGCTTGCCCTCTGCAGCAGCCCATTAAAACAGAGACACAATCTAGTCAGAAAGGGGCATCCCACAGAAGATTTTCCTATTATTCTTTCATTACAGATTTTTATAGCTAATTCTTAGAGGCAAACCTGAAGTACATTAGTTTTAAATTAGGCTTTGAATTTCACTGGCCTAGAAACAATTGCCTTTTGGTATACTTTGGGTTCCCTGCTTTACTGGAGTGTCAGATATCTTCAGCATTTGTTTAAAACTAGTCTTGCCTCTTGGAATGTGTAAGGAATAGGTTCGAAAGCCTCAGGGAAAGCAGAGCTCTTCCTGGTTAACATCGCCCTCAAGCGGGCTCCTGCCGGCTGGGTCGCGGGGGGTGCTTGCAGTCATAGAGAATTTGGAATTGTAAGGAGGTCGGAGTCAAGCCCTGCCAGATCTACCTTTTGGTATTTAATACAAAGCCTTAGCACCTGTAAAAAGAAAAGTTTGTAACATTCAGAGTAACAATCCCAAACTGAAGAATCTGAAGACAGTGTAGAGAGGCAGAAACATGGCCAGTTTTGTGCCATGTTTTGCAATATTAAAATCCCTTTCCTGCAGAACTGTTAGCCATTCTTATTCATAACCAGGGGCACTGCTACAGTTGTGGTTATTTAATTTAAACTTACAATTAAAATACTTTAAGGTCTAACGGGATTTGATATTGATAAGAAGGTGCTTGGTGTCTGACTGAACTTACGGTGCCCCTCTGCAAAGTCTGCCAAAAAAGAAGGGATCCTTTGAAAAATTGGTTTACAGTGATTTAGCAATACTTCTGCTCTATCTCTCTCTCTAAGATTGACTTGACCTCTGAAGTCATATGCTGGGGTGAGTTTTTTCCTAATGATTCTGCAGCATGCAAATAATAGCGTTCATCTAAAAGTTTTATGACCACGTGTCTCCACAAAAATTCTTGTATGCAAGCTACAGTTCTTTTGTTTTCAAAATTTATGGCACAGTCATTTTAGAATATTTGTAACTTTCAGGCATCATGACTCAAACTGTGTGCCGGTATCTCTTTCTGCATTCAAAAGAACCAAGCAAAATTATGCTGGCCCCAAATATCCACTGCTTTGTTTTAACTGTGCTTCATTGAGGTTGACAGAATTTCAATTAGGAAATACCCTTTTTGGTTTTTTGTAGTGCTTGACTGAATGAAAACAGAAATTGCCTCACCTATTGCACATGTAGCAAAATCATTTTATATTTATGCATTTATGTTTATGAATATTTGTACCGTGCACAGGCTGCATTTTCTGGCTATTTTTTTTTTTGTAGGTAAATGAGCAGTGTTATCAACAATTCACTTCAAAAAGAAATATTTCTGCACATCTCACTTGCTTGTCTGATTTGTTTGTGTTCATCTTTGTACAAAATCCTGTTTCTTAAAGCTGAATTTGGCACTAGCTGTTTTGCAACTACTGCTGGCAAAAAAATATCATGTGTCATGAAAATCTTTGAATTGGGAGTTTTATGTAATGTTTCTTTCTTCTTACAGTGCTAGCTTTTCCAGACTGAATTGTTTGCTCCCATCACCACTGCTCTGCCTAATAAAGTGGGGTTTTTACCACAGTTGAGTACTGCTAAATAAGTAGATGGAGGGTTTCAACCTGTCTGGTAAAGAGCAGGAAAACAGAATCTTTTTCCTTGGAGATGAACAAGAAGCTCCCATCAGTGCCTATGTTCATTTACCAAACTGAAATGGTTCAATCCCTTTCAGGAGTCCAGCCCTGGGGTCATGCCAGGTTCTCCGCAGTCGCCACCGCCAGACAGTGACTCCCTGGACAAACCCAAGCTGAAAGCCGGTGGCTCAGTAGAAAGCCTGAGGAGTTCCTTAAGTGGTCAGAGCTCAATGAGTAAGTTCAGTTGTAATTGTATTGCTCCATATCTGTGGCTTCAGGGAGCAGAGATCTCCACAGTAAGCAGAATCACAGGAAGTCAAAGCAGAAACTGGTTAAAAAGTAGAAAGGCTGATGGTTAGTCATTAAGGGTTTACAAAGAACTGTAACCTCTTTGGTGCAGAGACTATTTTTTTTGCTTTGTGTTTATGCAGAGCCCTGAAAAAGTGAAATCCAACTTTCTGTCTGGGTTTGTTGTGTCCTGCTGTTATAATATAAATATTATAATATAAATGTAATATAATAATGTACCTGTTTACTGCTGGCCAAGAATCATAATTCTCACTTCAAGTGAGAAATTTCCTGGGCACTCCTGGCGGTCTTCCCACCCTCCCTCTAGAGAAACCTTGAGGTTCTCTCATTAAATAGTTAAAGAAAGAGTAAATAGTATTTAAAACCTCTCGGGTTAAGATTATCTCTACATGAAACAGAGCTTAAATGGAACACAGATGATGAAAACTTGCTACAGTATTCACCGAATTTCAGGATGTGAGAGGGATTCTGTAACCCTCATGCAGGAGCTTGTTTTCCTCACACCACTATGTTTTTTTTGTAAGCAAAACTTCCCAGAAAGATGACATTCCTGTGACATACCGTAGATGAGACACTAGTTAAACAACTTCTCAGTTAAATATCGAGGAGCTGAATTCAGGAAAACAGGAGTGCAGAGTAGATTAACTAACTCTCCCATCACATGTGTGTATAAAAAATAGCAGTATTTAAGGACTTTTACCTTTGATTATCATGTTTTCTGGAAAGAAGACCTGTTTTCTATCTTACTTCTGTTTCTGAAGCTTTTTCAGAAGCTTTTTTGTGAACTGATACTATGTGTCTCACACAGGCGGTCAGACAGTGAGCACAACAGATTCCTCAACCAGCAACAGGGAGAGTGTGAAATCAGAAGATGGTGATGATGAAGAGCCTCCTTACAGAGGTCCTTTTTGTGGAAGAGCCAGGGTTCACACTGATTTTACTCCAAGTCCTTATGATACAGATTCTCTGAAGCTCAAGGTACTAGCTATGTCTGTTTTTAAGGGGTCAAACATTTATTTTGCTAAAATTCTAAATTAAAAGCTCTTTGCAAGTACTATAGAATTCTTAATCTTGTTACAAGTTTATATGTGTTTTTTGAAGCCCTTTAACATGTCTTACATGTTTAAGACTTGCTTATATAGCAATTACAGAATTATAGCAAAATGTTATAGAACATAAGTACTGGTGTTTTTCCACGTCTAGGGAAAGACACTTGTGTCTTTAGTTTTGGGAAAAATAAAAATGTGCCATGAATTCATTTCCCCTTTGCAAGGATTTTGCTTGAAAGCCTGGAAAAATACTTTGTCACAGTGAAATAATCCTCAATGGAAAAATTTTAAAACCCTTGGAAGAAATGTCCATGCACCTGCACATAGTGTCTCTTAAAGGCATTTGAGTTTATGTAACTTGTTTTGAGTTAATTTTGAAATACTTTGCCAACTGAGTGGTTATCTATCTTTAATTTTTTCTTGATATCAGCTTTGATTATTTTCAGTGGTGCTGTATTCAGTTCAAACTATCTTACTCCTTGCATTCATTACTTAAAATTCCAATGGCAGCTAATTCCTATTAAAGCAGATGTATCCAAGGTAATCTCTTTAGGCATACAAAAATGATTTTGTGTCCATTTCTTTGTTATGGTCTGGGGCACATTAGGAAAAGCAACATTGTTGCACAGTTCATTCTGCATAAGCCTCCTTTGCTCAGGAGATCTGAGGTGAAGTTATGCCCATATACACTGAGCATGTTCTTATTTGCACCAATTTCAGATAGTTGCATAGCTTAGAGACATTTGTACAAAACAGAAGTGGTGCTCTACAGAAGCGTCAGCAGGTTGGAGAATGTGGACAGTAGGGATCCATTCCGGGTTCTTTTGTTGACTTGTTCTGTGGTTGAAGTCATGTCACTTAATTCCCTTTTCTTCCACTTGTAAAACAAGTATAAGCAGACATTTTTGCAAGAGCTTTGAAAACTAAAGAGTGTTGTCCGTTCCATGTACATAGAAATCCAGGTGGGTGTGTTTGCTTAAATACCTATCAGAAAGCATGCTTAAAAGGCTTTCTTGCTTCTTTGGTCTGTAGAAGGGTGACATCATTGATATAATCAGCAAACCCCCCATGGGCACTTGGATGGGCCTGTTGAACAACAAAGTTGGCACTTTCAAATTTATCTATGTGGATGTGTTAAATGAAGAGGAAGAGAAGCCAAAGCGACCCACCAGGAGACGTCGAAAAAGCAGACCACCCCAGCCCAAGTCAGTTGAGGATCTCTTGGATCGCATCAACTTAAAGGTCCAAATTCTCTCTCTCTCTATTTACCCTTCAGTTTTGCTTAGGGGAGGGGGGCCACACCTTTTGAGTTGTTAGTTTAGAAAGTTGCACACCAGACTCATAATCCTAAGGCTTGTGACACCACTTAGCAGAATCAGATCTTAGCTGCAGAGTGAAAATAGCTGAGGCCAGGCAGAACTGCCTGTCAGGCTTGATGAAGTGCCTCAGGCTGCAAGTCATGTACTCAGAGACTGTAAATCGTTGCACAGTATGGCCGCTAGCTAACACTCCAGAGGCAAGCAAAATGTGTAAAATAACAATGGTTATCCCGTCTTTAAAGAGGACAGGTTTTTTCTATGTTTCTATGTTTCAGAAGTGCTAGGGATAGATTGATGTGGCTGTCATTCACCCTTCGTACTTCTCCCCTCTTGCAGAGCCATGCCATACTGTGTGTTCAGGTAGCATCGATACCCAGACCATCTAATATAGTGCATTTCAAATACAAAAATATGTGCGGCATTCTAGTTCTGCCCCATCTACTTTTCTGAACTCTGAGCACTGTTTATACAAGCTGTAATACTATAATTTTGGTGCTGTGCACTGGTTTGCATTTGCTTAACTACTGCCTTTTTGCTGGGTGCAAAAATCTCATCTAGTATCTTTATTGACAAAATAAATTGAATAAATTTGTTATCTCTCTTATCTCTTTTTTTCCCCTCTTTATTTTCCATTTGTGCAGGAGCACATGCCCACTTTTCTATTCAATGGTTATGAAGATCTGGATACCTTTAAGCTTTTAGAAGAAGAAGATTTGGATGAACTGAACATCCGAGATCCTGAGCACAGAGCTGTTCTTCTCACAGCAGTGGAACTTCTACAGGAATACGATAGTACGTGGAATGTTTGAGGTTTTCTGTTTTACTAGAGCTCTACCAAGAACCTTGTGAACCCCTTAAAACAGAAAACTGGTTCCAGGATTTTGATCCCTTTTTTTTTATCTAATGTAGTTACTTCCACGGTAACCCCATGTAACATGTTAGATTTTTGAGGAGTGACTTAAGATTTGCTTTAGTTCTTCCAAAATTCTTCTGTTCATGTAAGCCCTGCCACCCAACTTAATTCATATCAAGTGTACAATACATAATGCTTTAGAATACTGATGTTCAAGAACAAATCATGAGATAACCTACTCAAAAGAAGAGTCTGACACATAGAGAATAGGAAAGAAGAAATCTTCAGACTAGAGGGACAAGATTAAGATTATCAAGGATAGGAAAAAATTCAAAGCCCAGAGAGTTGTGGAGAAGTGTAACGTGAATTAATTTTACCTGCACATACATATGGTTCTTGGGACTGTTAATTGCAGGATTGTATAGGTAGCTTCAGGTTGTATATATGACAAAACAGTGATTTTCAAAGGAAGCAAATATATCAGTCAAGTGCAAAGAGTGAAAGACAGTGACCCACATATCTAATGTGCAGCAGTGCAATTTTGCCCACTGTACATGTGATCTCAGGCAAGTGGTTGCAAAGATAAGAAGGAGTGGAGTAAGCCATAGCAGTCGAATTCAAGGGTGTCTTTGCTGCATAGCAATAAGCGGGACCTAGTTACAGCAACCTAAGACAGTGCTGAATTTCCCCTTCATCCCCAAGTGTCAGCAGGATATTAGTATCCACTGAGCAGAATCAGCGGAATGGATTGTGTGAGGGCTTTCTCAGCTGCTTCTGTGCAAATTTCTGTGTTTTATCTTAAACTGCCATAGCAGCAATTTAAACAGCTGCTTGTTAAGTGGGCAATGCTTAATTCAATTATAGTGATATGTGTAATTAGTATCTTTAGACAGTGCTGTGTGGCCCAAGTTCCCAGTGACATGTAGCTTTCTTGTTCACTTCCCAGAGAGTCATCTGCTCTTTCTTTGCCCTTCTCTACCCCCACAATTAAGCCACAGTTGCAAAACTAGGTTCTTTTCACAAATATCAGAGTAGGTTTTTGTCACCCAACATGAGCTTCTCATCATTATTTGCAGACCTATTTAGAATGCTTACTTCCCTGAAGAAATAATTTTTTCAAGGCCCTTCAATTTTGGTTTGAAAACTTGAAGATGTGGTGGTTGGAAAGTACAAATTCCAGCTCCAAGTCAGGGTGATGAGGAGAAAGAGAAGTGGGAACCAGACAGCTCTAACCTGGGAGAGACAACAGTACATAGTTCAACTGCATAATTACCTGTCATGTGCTGAGAGTAGGAATTGGAATAATCATTTCTGACATTTCATTGCTGGTATAGAAACCCACAGCATAAACTGTATCCTTGCATCATGAGGTTGGTTTTCTTTATCTTTAGCTCTAGATTTAGCTTCTTTACAAAATATGATTTCTGACAACACATTCTGAGTAAATTCCTGGAATCCAGTCTATGCAGCCTGAGTGGACCACACTTGAGTGTTGTCTTTTTGCATAGACCAAGGAAGGAAGGAATTGGTACCACTAGTCTCTTCCATGTCCCATCGTCCTTTGTTAGGGGACAGTATCTAATGTACCAGACCCACTCCTGATCCTTCCTCTGGGTCTTCTCAAAGGTAATTCAGAATTCAAATTTTATTCTTTTTTACTTGAGTTGGTTCTTTTCAGTGTTTTTTTCTTCTTTTTTTCAGTGTTGGGGTTTTTTTTAAGTCTTAGAAAGAACTTTTACAGCATCATTTTAAGTAAATTTCCATGGTTTTAAGTTGTGCACGTGAGTTCCATTCTGCTTTATTATGTACCATGCTGCTCCCTCACACTCTTGCTGAAGCTGTTGCTTATTTACCAAACAGGATGAATGTTTCCAACATTTGTGATGGCTTTTCCTAATGCTCACTCTTTTATAAAACAGTGGTCTGATACAATTAATACAACAGGAAAGATCATAGAATTACTTAGGTTGATAAAGACCTTTAGGATCATCAAGTCCAACCTAGTCCACTGCTAAACCATGTCCCTAAGTGCCACATCTACACACCGTTTAAATACCTCCAATGATGATGACTCAACCACTGCCCTAGGCAACCTTTTCTAGTGCCTGACCACCTTTTCAGTGAAGAAATTTTTCTTAGTTCACAAACTAAACTTCCCCTGATACAACTTGAAGCTGTTTCCTCTTGTCCTATCACTTGTTACTTGGGAGAAGAGACCAACCTCCACCTGGCTACAGGCTTCTTTCAGGTAGTCATAAAGGGCATTAAGGTCACACTTGAGCCTCCTTTTCTCCAGGCTAAACAACCTTAGCCCCCTCAACCACTCCTCATAAGACTTGTGCTCCAGACCCTTCACCAGCTCCATTGCCCTTCTCCGGACACACAAAACAGTGGTGTTTGAAATGGAAGGTTGAGAAGTTCAGTCACATTTCCTGTTTGCCTGTTTTTCACTGTATTCTCACATCCTCTAGGTAACAGCGACCAGTCAGGATCTCAGGAGAAACTTCTCATTGAAGGCCAAGGCCTAACCGGATGCTCTCCTCGGGATTCTGGCTGCTACGAAAGCAGTGAAAACCTGGAGAATGGTAATGGTGACAGCAGTGAGCCTTAAAATTCCTTCAGTCTTTTTTTTCAGTAGATAACTTCATATACTTCTCCTCCTGTTCTTAGCTAACAAAAGCTACTTCACACTTGACTTTCTCCTTTGCTCTGATTACCTCTTTCCCTCTTGGCTTGAGCCATTGGTTTTCATTGCTACTGTTTCTAATTTATTTATTTGCATAAATAAAGGAAACAGATCACATTTCACAAATAGTCTTTCTTTTATGATCTTAGGGCAACAGGCACTCTCAACTACCATTCCCTGCCTTCTCCACTCCCAGTCATATTCTCATGCCACTGTGCTTCTTGAGACTTGCACTACTTGCACACCAATAGCCCTTGTCTAAGGGATCACCGATGGAGAAATCTCTGAACTCTGCAGAGATTAGGAGGATTTTTTCTGTTAAGAAAAAATGTTCTCTATTTTAGGCCATATTTTTGTGTTTGCTTAGGTTGCATATTGCATTCTCCTCTGATCAGAACCCAACTGCAGAGACTTAGGACTTCTTAGTATATGAATACTAGAAAGTTAATTAGTTGAGAAGTTGGCAGGGAAATAAAATAAAGAACAAATTGCTAATAATATCAGTTCCCTTTGCCTTATCCTGCATCAGTAAAAGGTGATGCATTGAAAAATTACTAAGGCAGGTGATAATAGAGATTTTTTGTCTCTGTTCTAAAAAAACAGAACATGCTTTACTTGAGAGATGGTCTAAATTTGTCATTAGGGATGAAATATTAAAAGAGAAAATACTGGTTTGAGTTTGGCATTATCGCTCCAAGCATTTGAGCCATGGTTTGGCCTCAGACTGCCTGGTTTCATCACTGACATCCAGCATAAATAGGAAACCAAGAACAGAATAAATAGATACTGTATGTGACTATTTTTCCAATTTAAAATATGAGCTAAAGATCTTTCTCTTAGTATGTGCATTTTCTGTCAGTCTGCCACTCAAAAATAACAATTTATTGAAGAAAATCAGAATTTGCTTTGAAGCTGAATGCCTGAAATCAACAATATACTAAATTCCTGAAAGCAGGGAGTTCTTTTTCTTGAATACGAATCCACATCCAGTAGGCACGCTGGAATAGAATCATAGCTAAATATATGGCATATGTGACAATTTCCTTTCATTTTTGTCTCTAAGTGCCATCATAATGATAGCTGTAACACTGAAGTTAAAGTGCTGCCTGTACATTTTCCTTATTTTAACGATATAATAAAACCTTTAGAAAGCAATTGGCATTGCCTGTCTGCTTAGATACTTACATTTAAACTAATATTCCTGTCTGAGTTTTCTAGAACGTGAAATGCTGATGATTTTTATATTGCTTTTTATGAATGGCTTGCTGCATTTCTGCATCATTTTTGCTCACAAATGCATTTAGTGTTTGTTTTGAAAACCATTATGAAAAGAACATTTGATATTGGATTCATTCAGAGATTTTGTCAAGGCTAGTTAATCTGAAATCTGCTCCACCTTGTTTGCAAGGTTCATGGACCACAGTTGTTCATATGCATGTTGTTTTCAAAATACATTGTGTTCTCATCTTTTAAAATAAGGGTAGTCATTTGTCTGGTATAAACATCATATTGTGCAGATCAGCACTTCATAAAGGGCAAATGCATTCTGAGAAGGAACCGATCTTCAGATTTTCTGAGGAATTTTTATACATAATATTTTGATGACTCCTGTAGTGTCTGGTTTGGGGCTGATACTGGATCTTTTGGTATCAATTCAAGATTTCAGAGCTACTCTAATATTTTGGCTAGAAAATTGTTTGCTATGTACTATAGCAGTGGTCCACATGTATGTTTTGTAAGTACTTCTCTGGGTCCCACTGCAGAAAAATTTGGGTATACTCTTAGGTATCCACAGTGTACTTACAGCAGCATTGTGGTTTTATTTCAGTTCACAGAGAGCAAGGAACATACAGTTTGTGACCTATCCCGTCTTAGACAAGAAAAACCTCAGAGCAGAAAGCAACCATCTATGGACAATTAGTCCATATAGAAATAAGGCAGAGAGAGCAAGCTGTCCTTTAAACATCTGACAGTGGTGCAGTTATTGGGCTTGTTTTGCATGCAGGCATCAACAGTCTCAGATTCATTTGGAAACCACATTGGAAAACTGGTTTTCACAGGACCAGACAAAAGCAGATAGCTACAGAACAGAATAGGAACAGAGCAAGCATATTTGATGCTTCCCAGGACATTCTTGGGGAATTCATCATTTAAGAACTTCAAAATTTGAGTACTCTTTCCTGGCATTCACCCATTTTTCTGAAACTTTTTATGAACATCCCTTGTCTTCCATAGAACCTCCATACCTAACAGTGTCTGTGTATGACTTCTGTCATACTCCTTCCCAAGTCATCTCTTTTCTGGTCTGGGAAGGCCTACTAATTATTCCCTATAGGTCATTCATGTCCCTGGTCATGCCTGGCTTCTTTGAAGCTTTACTTGTACTGTATAACTTTTTTAAGGGACATGAAGAGATGAGAATTGCACATGCAATGCGCAGAGCTGAATGAGCAGACAAACCACAGCTTTATCAGGTGGGATAAGGGCATTCTCTGACTTGTTCAGAAACTGAGGCCCAGATTTCCACAGTGCCAGGCAGGCATCCTAAGCACTTAAATATTCAGTCCTAATTAGTCAGAAAAGGAAGCAACAAAACAGGTGGCCACATTGCCTAATGTAATGTGCATTTCTACTAGATTGTAATCAATAGAAAAAGCAATTAGACTGTTGTCTAATGTGCCATCATCTTTGTTGTGTCAACAGACCTGTTTGAAATGCACCCAAAATACAGCCACAGAAAGTAATGTCAAAATGAATTTAATAAAATCTGGATTTGGGCAAACCACTGAATGCATTCTGTGTCTGGTTTTGCATACTTAAATTTCTGAGGACTGTCTTCCATATGGAAAAAGATGTACTAAGGGAAACACTGAAAATTTTTTGCTATAGCTGTGCTACCTCTAGAAATTGAGGGCTCTAGAATATTCCCCAAGATAGTCTCTTTTCTTCTGAGGCAGGTGATGACAACGAAATTTAAAAGTTCCATGTCTGTAATCTAATAATAAGTATCATGAGAGGTGGACAGTGCTTTGTCTAGCGAAAAATGCACCATAACATTAAATAGAAGAGTTAAAGTATTCACCATAGCTTGAACTGAATCTGGAAATAATATAAACTTTTCATTCATTTTATGCAAGTTCCACCTTTGTAATCTTAGTTTTTACCCAATCACCTGTGTCCTTCTGTGCACATTTAAATCAGAGATGCCACCGTGGTTAACAGCACTATGAAAGGCATTAGACTGCTTAACTGTACTGGGGGTTCATAAGACTGAGTTATTATCAAAAATCCTAACATTAAAAATGTGTTTTAAACCTTACTAGCTATACACTTTAACTCCTGTAGTTTGTTTTCTTCTTTTGTTCCCAAGGTAGGGAATGTTACATTTGTGGACATTATTTATATAACTCTCCACTTTATGAAAACAACTTAAAAATATGTTTTAAAGTCTGTTTTCAGGAAATACTGCCTTCCTTTCTTAGTTTCACAGAAGCATAATGAAGTTATACCTGGCAGTCAGGAGGGGAGAAGGAACAGATGGAAAAAGAGAAATCACAGCTGCCTTCCTGATACTGCTCTTGACTTAAGTCTACATAAAAGAAATTACATTCTCAACCAGCAGCCTCTGTACAAAGCAGTAGCATTGAACCCAGCAGTATCTTTTGAACCATTCTGAAGCAGAGAGCTTAAAGATGGCGTGTTTGATTATATATGTTATGGACAAAATGTTTTGAACTTCAATTCTAACCTCATTTGTATTTTTGTGCATAACAGGGGTAGAATGAACTGAAGATTCGATTTTACTTTCAGAAAATTTTGCTTTTCTCATTTTTCTTGATTTTTTCTTCTGTAAAGGCTACTGCCTTTACACAGACATACCCCATTTTTAATGAAATGCAATGCTGCTTACTAGATAGCCTTATGGCTTCAGTAAGAGCTTATATTGCACAGGAGTAGCATTTCTCACAATTTTTATTTCAATGTCGAGGTTCCTGAGTGGGTTTTCCTTAAACTGGTGTAACCCCTGGTTAGTATTTCAGATTGAAAAGAGGGTATATGGATTTTGTTATGTGAGCATTGACAGCAAGCCCCAGACAATAGGGTGAATTACTGCACAAGTCAGACATGTGCTGGCAAATATGAATAATGGAAAGAGAACACTTCTTTCCATGCTCATTACATACTGACATTAGTGCCTGAAGGCACTAAAAAATGAACATAACATTTCTTACACATGTCTTTTTAATGTGATTTCAAGTTATTTTCAGAAGGCAGTGGCCAAGCTCCTTGAAAAGATGCAGACAGACAGGTCTCCCTGCTAGTTTTCTGAGCTACCTGAACTCAAGGTAGTAGCAAGGGGGCCAACTTCAATGTGGGATGTGTCTCTTTTAGCACTTTGTGGAAATGGTAATATTTAGTTTGAGTTGAACTGCGAACCATACAGCTTCTGAGAAAGCAGTTCCTGTGTGCTCGCATTCATCCTTGTAGGCACACCTTGATTTTAGATACAGTAACTTTTTTTGATGGGAGAGTTTTCCTTATCTCTTCCTAAATGTAACCTCCATTTTCTTTTCTGTTTTTCTGGATACTTTGTTTTTTAAACTCTTTGAGCAGAGTAAGATGCAAGGGAATGCGAGCTATTTCTTTTTTAGGTTAAACTGGTTCTTTCATTCATATGCAAAGCAAGCAGTGTATATTATTCAAAACCCAAGCACTGAACTTCTTTCAGGATAATGCTTTGAAGGCAAGCTGCATGAGAAGAAAACATCTATTGCTTAAAAGTACACCAGATTACTTTAGTTCTGATGTAGTAAGCAAAACCTCTCAGATTTCTAAAATGATCAGGTCTTTTAATTGGCAGCTATTGATTACCTTTTATTACAGACTTTTGATAGCATTTAGCCAAATCTTTTGGTTTGAGGTTTTGGCTGTTTGGATTTTTTCCTTTCCATTGGAAAAAGAAATTTTGAGCTTTATCTCTCTCTCTCTCTCTATTTCTTTGTCTATCTATCTATCTATCTATCTATCTATCTATCTATCTATCTATCTATCTATCTATCTATCTATCCAGCCTGATTTTAGAAGGCTTACTGTACATGGGGGAAAGTATCCCTGTCACCCTGAAAACAATAACTGTTCAGGATGTGCTGTTATTCTCAGAGGTCATTGGCTTTGAGACAAATTTACTTCTGTCTTGTTAAAAAGAAAAAACATCTATATAGTATTTGATAAAAGACCTTGTATTTCAAGTAATGAATACTCTAGTAGACGCAGTCCCTTTGATTGGGATTTTTCTGTCAAGCAGAGTTGGTGGACTTCACTGTTTAAAATCAGTGGTGTTTATAAAAATATAAAATAAAGCTTACAAAGAACGTGTGGTTCATATTGACATCTTAAGTGTTTATAATAAAACACCAAATCTCTAAGACCTTCCACTTTGATAACCCCCCAGACATGAGACATGTGACATGAGACTAACGCTGATATTAGTCACACTTGAAACTCCCTTCTGAAACATTTCTCCATCTCATAAGATCTTTTTCTATAAAACTCTGCTGTTTCTAAAAGTAGTTTAACAAAGGGGCTGGTGCTAAACCAGTCTTCCTGTACTTTCTTGTGCAGGAGGAGTGATATAGGGTATCAGTTCTAACTATAGGATATTTCTACATGAAAAAGGTTTATATGAGCTAAACCTCAAATCTCTGCAAATTGGAGAATAGGAAGGATATTAAGTATTATGAATATATTTTACTTATGTGGTCACATTTACTAGTTCTTCGCGAATAAAGCTGAAGTTCACAAATACATATGCTTAAAATGGCACTGAGTTCTTGTACATTTAGAGTTAACAAAGAGAGAATAAATCTTTTTTTTTGTTTTTTTTTCAAAACCATTTATAAGTGATCTCTAATTTATGCTGCAGGGTGTTTTTTTTTTTTAATTGTGAATTTACTTGTTTCTAGGTAAAACTCGAAGAACCTGTCTTCTGCCCTCAAAATCAGCAAGTGACCGTAGCTTTAAGGATTTCAGCAGAAACCAGCTATCAAATTATCCCACGCTTCCATTGACCAAGTCAATAGAAACTCTACAGCATGGGGAAAAAGGGTTGGGTTGTGCACATCATGCTCTGAAGAGCTCTGTCCAACCTCCAGCCATCACAGGTCTGAAGAAGAACCGCAGAAGTTTACCGGTTGCCGTCTGTCGGAGTTATGAAACTCTGGATGGACCTCAGGATGTAGATACATGGCCAAGATCTCACTCGCTGGATGATCTCCAGGGAGAATCCAGTGCTAACCTACAGGACACTAGCAAGCAAGTAGGTTCTTTTCCTCAGGATTCACTGGATGTAGCAAAAAAGGCAACTGGCTCTGCCCTGCCGCCTCACACTCATGGAGGCAGCTGTATGGTAGATGACTTCATGGCTAAGCAGAGTAAGGGAGCTGCTAGTTCTCAGAAGGGAAGAGCTAAGGAATTGAACTGCTCTGTAATGGAAACTGCAGGTGAAAAGCCTGCTCCGTTCCCCCTGAAAAACTATGAAGCTCAGCCTGCCTTAGTGATGCATCATGCCTCTGAAAATACAAGGATGCCTCTGGAAATACAAAGTAAAGGCTTTCATGACCTTGCGCGGGCTGATTATGCTCCAGTCCTCAAGGGAGGTCTAGAAGCTGAGCAAAAAGGCACAAATGAGGCAAGAATGCAACCAAAAAATCCTTCTCAACCGCCACCTGTCCCTGCCAAAAAATGCCGAGAACGCCTTTCTAATGGAGTATACCATCCTCCCATGACCACAAGTGGGAACCACTCAAGTCTAGAAGCACCATGTTTGCCAGTAAAAAAGACCAGCTCATCCGGTCCCATTGATTGTCATGGAGTACCTGTCCATAGGACGTCCTCTGAACATGAGCCCAATACCCCTCCTAGCCCACTCCCACCCTGGCTGTCAGAGCTCCCAGAGACTGCTAGTGTTCAGCAGCACGTGGTAAAGCTAGGTCCTGCTTCAGCAAGGAAAGTGTCTTGTAGCAGGGGAATGGATCTGGAAATGGTGATAGAAAACAAGTTGCAGTCTGAAGACATTGATCTTACTGAAGAACCGTACTCAGACAAGGTAAGTGGTAACCATTTCAATGCTAGCATTCCAAGGGATAGCCTTTCATTTATTGTGTGTAATTTTTTTCTGTGAGTAACCAGCCTAGATAAATCAAAAATCAATGAGACATTAGACATTCTATAACTCTGTTTGTCTTTACTATCAGACTTTATGCCTAAAGGAACTCTTGTGTTGTGGGGGACTGAGAAATCCCAGACCTATTCTGAACCTTCATCTTTTCAGGCCACTGGTGCCTTGGTGGACCAGGCATGGAAATGTATCTTTCTCTGCTGATGTGGGGAAGTAGAGCTGAAAAAGAAAGTAATGATTAAATTTTATGCTTCCAAGGAACTCTAAATTGATAGCATCAATTAGACATCTTTTTTTTGAGGGGAGGGAATGAGTCTTAAGGTCCAGTCCCTCCCTAAGGGATTGCTTTTTTCAGTTTTCATGTAACCTCGAGGAAAGCTCCTTCTTGCTCCCATCCTACACTTCTTTTTTGGTCTGTATTAATACACTTCTTTAATTTGTCTGCTCTCCTTTGTGTCTGGCTGGGAACATTCAGCACGGTCGCTGTGGCATTCCCGAGGCTTTGGTACAGAGGTACTCTGAAGACTTAGAGCAGCCTGAAAAGGATGTTGCCACAAACCTGGACCAAATCCGGGTAAAGCAGCTGAGGAAACAGCATCGCATGGCAGTGAGTATTTCCATAAACCAAATCTTCTTGTTTATGAGCAGACTTTTAAAAGGACTGACTAGTAGTAAAGGGAGATTCTTGTGAAGTCCTAGTACAAATGTGCTCCCTATATTCACCCAGCAGGTGCAACATAGGTAGAGGTACTGTAGGGGCAGGATATACCTCCTCCTGTCCGAAAGGAGGACAGTTAGTAGTTGAAAGGAGAGTGGATATCCCTCTCTTGACTGAATAATAGTCTTAGAAGTCTAAGCAGACTGCAAGCAGTGGTAACAGATACTTGCTCACTAAGAGTGACACATATTAAATGCTTCTGTATTGAAATCTGAAAGGGTTTATACTCCTTTTTTATTTCTTAAACTATACTAGTGTCCACTCCTCCTTAGCAAAAGCAGGAGGAGAAAACAGTCAAAAACATGGCTTTTTCTAGGAAAACTTGGTCTGTTTGAGGAGGTAATAGACAAAATTGGTATTCTCTTGCCTTACTGAGAAATTAAACGTATCACTCTGAAAAGTCTTTTTACTGGATATTTTTTAGGTCTCTCAAACTAATTCAGAGTGGCACATGACAGTTACCCAAGCAGCTGGATACTGCCCACTGTGTCTGTATTGCCAAAATTATTGCTTCTGTGCCAAGTAATCTTAGCCTTTTAGTCCACACTGCTCTCATACTGACAAATCTGACATGAGAGAAGTTGAAACATCTGCTATGAAACTATACCAGTTTGGAAGAGAGGAAAAAAAAAAAAAGACTTGCTGTAAAGGCAGATATGTTTGACATTAAGGGTTCTGTTTTCTTTCTGGTTTTTTCACTCCCCAGATTCCAAGTGGAGGACTCACTGAAATTTGCCGTAAACCTGTATCTCCAGGACTCATCACCTCTGTATCTGACTGGCTGATTTCCATTGGTCTGCCTATGTATTCCAGCCTGCTTACAGAAGCAGGGTTCAACACACTGAGCAAAGTGCCTTCTCTGTCACAAACTTGCCTTCAAAAAGCTGGCATCACAGAGGAAAGGCACATAAGCAAGCTCCTGGCAGCGGCAAGACTCTTCAAACCTCTTGATCCAGAAGCAATTTAACATGCTCTGTAGTGTGACATTGCCTGGTTGAGAATTCACTGCTTCTTCTTGCACCAGTATTGCTCTAATTACTTCACATAGCTAAAGGGATCAAGGAAGTGGCTCCCAAGGACAGGCAGATATCTTCTTCAGAGGATATGAAAGTCTTTGGCAACTGAAGGAGAAGAGAAGCAACCACCAGGTAACATAGATGTGGTACTTTGCTCCCCCCTCACTCCCATCTAAAGTATTCTTATTTCATAAAATGTACAGGGTTGGCCTGAGAACCAGACAGCTTCGCAGAATTAAGGGACCCTTGCACATTTTCCTCACGTTTGTGATAGTGATACTAGTAAGAGGTCTTCTGTACCTCTAGGTTCCAGGTACCTGAAATCAGTCCTAAAGACCAGGTACAAGCCAAGGCACAAATTCCGTTAGAGGCTGTTTGACAAATGCCTTCTGTTTATTTTAGTCTAGAACTAAACACAAAGCCCTCCCCGGTCATCCTTTCTGTTGCTTGGTAGAGGTCCCAATACACCACACAGCCTTTAGCTAGGCCAAAGTTAATGGACTGGAATTAGTTTTCAGTGCAGTCCATCTCTGTCACCCCAGTGCAACTAACCCATGGAGAGTCAGAAAGCTTCTTTTTATTTGTACAGAGCTGAGGTCATTTTTAAAACTGCTTTCTAGCAATCTGCTTTTTATTTGCCTTAAAATAAGCTTTTAAGCAGTTACCTAGTGTTCACTTACCCATATTCACATTTCCCAAGCCTTGTTTCAACCCGTCACCCTTAAGTTGCTCTTAGGGTGATTTCCAGCTGAAGTAGCTTCTATAAAATGCCTCATCATAACACTTTCTGTGTTGTAGAGATGCTTTTACAAATGCAGGGTTATGCTAGGTTTTGATTGTCAGGTTAACTTCTTGTTCACTACCGTCTGCATTTACTGTTGTTACTAAACTGTTCCAAGATATACTGCCTTGTATATATGTAACTGCTTTTCATTTTAATCATATTCTGTGTACTGTGTTTTATTGTCAATCATTATGCTGCAGCTTTGACTTGGTATCCTGACCATATTGATTCCAAACAGTGGGTTTCTGCAAATGAAAAATCAGTTTCATCGAAAAAGCAAATTATATCCCACAGAAATCATCAAATTCAGTAATGCCATTGCATGGACAAAAAAAATTCTACTATAGTCTCATGAATAACACTGTGATTTTTAGAACAGTTGAAATCCATCCTGACTGCATTAATGTTACTTCTCACTAAAAGAGAGCGTTGTTCTGGGAAATGTGGTGCACCATTTTTCCATGATGTAATGATATTTTTCTGCCTAAATCTATGTGAAACTTTCCAGTTGCCTATGTGGCTAATGACAAATTTTATTTTTCTATATTGGGTATACATTTTATATACCAAATACAGATTATCATGAATAGCACATAGCCAGCTTATTCTTTGGGGTCTATATTTAGGGTATCCTTCAGCTTCTTGTAGTACAAATACTCCATGGAAGGCAGAGCAAGCTTACTCTGGCAGGTAAAGGGAGATAGTGTAGAAACCTGGGCACAGGACAGCATGTGTGACTATTTCCAATATCGGTTCTGATGTCAATTTACTGTATAAAATCAGACAAGGCACTTTGCTATTTGGTGCCTCAGTTATCCCAGCTTCATATTGAGCTAATGAGTCCTCCTCATAAAATGCTCCCAGATTGATGCACGAAAAATTATGTTTATTCCAGGATTCTTTACTATATCTGATCCTTTCATGGTCATGTTTTAAGTCACATGAATATGCATTTGACTACAGATGATAACTGATTTGGCTCCTGGTAGAATTGATAGGTGTTAGGTTTACTTTCCTCATTTTGAATTTCACCCCTGTCTACTGCACACCATCATATGAAGGCAACTAATTCACTGTTGTAACTTGAAATTACTCTCAAGTTAATCTCTGTAATGATCTCCTTGTTGTGTGGATAATCAGCATGTTCTAATATAACAGCATCAGGGAACATACAGCAGAGGTGTTTTGTACAGCTGATGAAAATGTGGTGTGGCCTCACCTTGAGTACTGTGTGAAATTATGGGCGCCACAGTACAAAAAAGACATTAAGCTATTAGAGAGCATCCAAAGGAGGGCCACGAGGATGGTGAAGGGTCTGGTGGGGAAGCCTTATGAGGAGCAACTGAGTTCACTTGGTCTGTTCAGCCTGGAGGAGACTGAGGGGAGACCTCATTGGTGGTCTTCAGTATCCTCACAAGAGGAAGTGAAGGGACAGCTACCAATCTCTTCACTCTCATGACCAGTGACAGGACTCGAGAAAACAACGTAAAGCTCAGTCAGGGGAAGTTTATACTGGATATCAGGAAAAGATTTTTCACCCAGAGGGTGATTGAGCACTGAACAGGCTCCCCAGGAAGTGGTCACAGCACCGAGCCTGACAGAGTTCAAGTGTTTGGACAACGATCACAGGAACATGGTGTGATTCTTGTGGTGTCCAGCACAGGGCCAGGAGTTGGAGTCCTGATGGGTCCCTTCCAACTCACAATATTCTATGATTCTAAAGAAAAAAAAAAAAGAAATTGTTTTTTAAATAATGATGATTTTTCTGTTGTTGGTCTCTGAGGCTTACATGGCAACTATCAGCAAGAGGAGATGGAAAGAGTATTGAGACTTCCTGGGATTGTTGGCAGGGACGAGAACAGAGTAGAATTAAGTAGACAGCAGCTATATTGGAGCAAGGGAAAAGTCCAAGCTGGCTATAGGCAACAAAAAAAAAAGGAAATAAAATAAATTTCCTCGTGTTGCAGGGAAGGCAAGTCATACAGTAAAGCTCTCCCGTATTAATTACTTTCCCCACTCTTATTAACAGAAGGAGAATTATGGGAATAACCTGACGCTGTGTGCCAAACACTCTTGGTAAATCCATACTTTTTAAATGATTATGTGACCCAGGGAAACCAAATCACACCCATCAGGACTAGAGTGAGCAGTTTGAGATTTTTGAGTTCTAGTTATTATTTTGTTTTCTTTTAAAGGCTGTGCTTTGTAGTCTAATTTGAATTAAAATTTTAGTTTATGTTTTAATCTAAAAAAAACCTTAAGCTTCTCAGTGTTTGAGCTTCCCTGCTGTGGTTTCACTCACCTGTGGCATTCCCCAAGCAGATGAGGTGGTGTGGTATGAGAGCCATAACCACTTGCATCTTCTTGCAGCCATTCAGTGCTCTAAGCAAAAGTTCACTCATGAACTGTTGGGAAGCACAGAAGAAACCTGCTGCTGGAATCTTCTCTGCTCTGCTCAGGCTAATGATGTTTAATATCTATCCATTGTATCTTAGTAACTCAAACAGCTATTTAAGAATAGAAGCAGCAAACCCAAAATATTACTAAATGTCACCATAACCATAAGCTTTGATCAATAACCCACTGTTGCTACCCAGGTGGCAATGCTCCCATATGAGCCTGGCTTTGGATGCCAACTGGGAGCATGATTAGAAGCCTTAAACATTGCAAACCTGAAAACAGGTCATCATCTCTAAGAGAGCAATAGTGGTCGATTCACCAAGTCACAGCTGTGCAGTTGTACTGTATTATTTTTAGAATAAATAATACTTTCAGTCCAAGATACTTTTATCATTAATTGACACCCTGTGGGGAATCAAAACTGTCGAGCAAGTTATGTAACAACTAACAAAGTTGCACTTTCTGTATATGAAATCAATATTTAAATAACTTATTTTTCTCCATTTGCTGTTCTTAAATGATGTAAGTAGCTGTAATATACCAGTACTCAATATGTCCTGCAGTTTGCTTCAATCCAAGAAAGCTGTGTATTGTAAAGGAAAAAAAAAGAAAAAACAAATTATGAATGTGTAAAGATTATTGTGCTGTTTCATTTAGCAAAAAAAATGGTTGACAAAAGGGTTTTCCTGTGTATCAAAACTTGTCTATAATTATATGTCATACTGTTCATAGATCAAAAGTAAATAAATTTCCTTGATCTCTCTCTTTTTTTGGTTGTTTTTGATTTTGCTAACAGATCTTCTATTTATTGCTCTGATAGCAGTGCCCACTGATTTAATTTTTTTGTTTATACCTTCGTCCCTCTCCCTCTAGCTTATCAAGCTTCTAGTTCTTCTCCTTGTTAGCACTCTCGACACGTATCTACAGCAGGAGAAAAAGGTTTTAAAAACAAAATATTGAAAGCCCAGGACTAGAAGCAGTCATCCAAATATGATATGATGTGAATCATCAGTGTCCAAACTTTGTTACATCCTGTGAATGTCCAGCTGCTGGGCTCAAGGAGATGCGTGCAAGAGGTCTCCTAAGACTCCCCCTTGGGAGCTTTTCCACTTTGTAATGGAATAATTAAAAATGGGTGGAACCAGAGAAAGAGTATATGAGTACAGTGCTCTGGAGCTGTAGTTAAAGCGATTGCCTGAAAGAAGGGATTTCAAACCTGGTTTTCAAATGCAGCTCTGCTTCCTTGGGCTGGTGAGGTGCTTCATTCTGGAGAAGGGAAGGTGTAACTGCTGAGCAGTCAGGTAATGTCTACAGTCTGTAATAAGATGCCAATGTCCAGGTTTTGGGGCAAAGGAGCCTTGGGACATGACTCTTGCCCCTCCCAGCTCACTTGAGTGACTCCTTACTTACTGCTTTGCATTTGTTGGTCTGGTTAAATTTGCTGAGTAATTAATGGGTGTGCTTAGCTGCCTGACAGAGTGCTGCCCGGTCCACACGGCAACAGCTTGAAGTTAATCCTTTGTGGATTTAGCCCTAAGTAACAAGGGTGGGCTGTGTCTGCATTAGCTGTTAACCGGAAGCTTAGCTCTGGAAACGACATAAAGAGAAAAACAAAAAATCTTTTGGGTTGGATCCAGACAGCTGAATCTTCGGTTCCTCTCAGGCAGCGTTCCCACTAGAACTGTACAACGTGGCAAACAGTTCGTGGGAATGAGGTGGCGTGTCAGATGTGAACGTTTAATTTTAGGTCTCCTCTGTGGATACCCCTGGGTTCGGCTGCGGCCCCGGCCGCTGCTGTTGCCGTGCACCAGAGGGCACTGCGCCGCTGGCAGCGGGAGCGCCCGCCGGCCCCGCGGGAATCACTGCAGCTGGCTCACCGACAGCCTGTTTCCAAGAGTCTCTCAAGTAACAAAACAGAACTAAAAACAAAACAAACACTGCACAACATGAAAAGCCAGGGCGCTTGCCATTTCTGCAGCTGGAAGAAGTATTGCTTCCCGTCCAAGACTGCTGTGGTCCAGGATTGCCTTGGGAGCAGCTGAAACACAAAGCCCCCATCTATTGCACTCAGAGTTTTGCTGGTGTGTTTGATCCAAACGTGTGCTAACTGTAGTAGCCCCTGCCAAAACCAACCACCACCACCACCCCCTGACACATACATACCTATCCTTATTCTAAAGGCTCTCTTTCCACTAGTGTTTCCACCAGAAAAAGAGATATGAGAGAAACGTTAAAATTCTTGCTGCTAATACTTAGAAAAAGAAATTTTATCCTGAGCAGAAGCTTCACATGTAAACCCACAGAGACTTAAAAGCTATGAATATAATGTTACGTATGCCACTAAAGCTACCTCATGAGTCTTCTAAAGGTTAATCATTTAACATTCAGGAAGTAATACAAAGCAAAAGTCGTATTAATTCTTAACCTTGCCCTTTTGCAGGTACTGCAGTCTTTCACTCCATGAATGGACATCATTATTTGTGTTCTTAATTGTGCAACACAATTGGCTTTTGCTGATCTTACACCCACATGACTGTGCTTACAGGTGTATGTGTACCTCGTGCCTGTAGCAAATGTGGATAGAGCCTTCCCAAATCTTCGTTCGCGAAGCCTCGCCATGATGATGATGTGTACCTATAATGTTCAAGCCCTGACCCCAAAGCTCTGATATTACTGAGATTCTATCATTTCCATTGTTTTTGGGCCTGGCTCCAAATGGAAGAATTTTTGCACACATAAATGAACTTATAATATTTTAACACCAAAAAACCCCAAAGCCCTCTTTAAAACTTTTGAGGACATTTATGGAATTAGTATGCTTCCAAAAAAAGTCAGACTAGAACAAAGCCATAGATCTTATTTCAAGAGACCTTGTTGCTTGGCCTGCTGCAGGTGGAGTTCATGAAAACTGTAGGAGCCTAAGGTCAAACAGAAAGATGGCTGGTGGGATTAGCTGCTTCCAAGACTAGACAGGTTTGAGTAGGAGAGAAGGGTGAGTTGGAATTACAATTCTGCTCTTCAAACAGCTTTGTTGTTTATTGAATCCAGTCATTTAAATTCACCGTCTCTGAGATGAGTCCTCCACAGACTTGGAGGTTCTGGGCTTAGCTCTTCCAAGGCAGATCCCATTCCAGGTAGGCAGAGTCCTGCACATCTCTGACAAGTTCTACATTCCTTGTATTGGCATGTACTATTCTGAAATTCTCACGAGTAGCATTTCTTCATTTAGCCACAAAATGCTTACACAGCTGTGCAAGTTTGTGAAAACAAGACCTGTGTTTATGTCTACAAATCCTGCCTTAAGGGGGACACCCTCGTGAATTAGACTATCAATCTACTACTATTTTTTTGCACTTTCGCTCCACTGGCTCCTATGGTAATGAACATATACTCGGCAGGTTCTAAAAATGAAAGTTATAATTTTTTTATGTTTATTGAAGTATGAGTAAGCTGTTATTTAATATGAGCATTCACTTTTAAAGTTCTGATTTAAGTGGCTCATTTGCAGTTAGCCAAACAGAAAAACCATCGCTATTTCTCTGCCTCAAAAAGTGAAACTGAATTGTCCCTCTTGCAAGTTAAGTGATGATTAAAAAAAATACATGCAATGCCACCTCAACCATCTGGTGAGCTGTTTCTGTACAGTACTAGCAGTGTTACAATAACTTGTCTTTCACTTTGATGTCCATATGCCAGAGTCCTCAGTGGACTTGGTAGTGAGGGCTGAGGTTAGTTCAACTTGGAGGTGTGTTCAGGTCTTAGCAATTCTACAAACCCAAAAACTCAAAAGATTGGCAGTATTGTAGACCATCTACTATGCCCTGAGATGAGAGCAATTTTACAGGTAGCACTGGCTACCTGTAATCTGAAAGCAAGATTAGTGATGCTCCTGAGCCCACTAAAACTGTAGGCAAACACTACACATCTTTTTGTTTTCTTTTAGAAGAACTGAATTACCTGCTATTCACAGGAGCTGCTACATGAGGAAGACTGTGTTTGCTGACTTGACAAGCACGACTCCCACCACAATCAGATCTACTGCTGTTACGGAGTGGCACAGCCTGCACTTGCTTATGAACATCAAAGCATGAGCATCACAGAAGGTGCTTTGGATTCGGAGCAGTGCAGTTTCTGAAAAGCAGAAGAGTGGCTTAGATCAAATTCAGTTACACAAATAAGTGCTTATGTCTTTAATAAAGTCATCTAATGAAATGAGATAAGAGCCTCAATTCATTAAGCCACTTTCTTTTGAGAGACACTTTTTTTAGCCCCCAAGGGTTGGATTTAGAACATACCTTGAGACCAATTGCTGCCTTCTCAGTTTTCTTCTCCTCAACCTCATGACAAAGCAAGAAAGGATTTCAGGCTGCTTTCTGATATATATGGGAGTGTGAGTCAGAAATTTGCCTTTGGGCACATAGGAAAACCTCTGGAAGCCATTCAAAAATTTTTTGGGGGGGTGTATTTTAGCAATTTGATCAGTTGTGTCTTGCTTCAGGAATATGGGAGGCTTTTACATGAGTCTATGAGGTTAAATGCAAATTCACATCAAAAGCAATGGCTCAAGCTCCCATGCAATACCTGTCTGTGTGTAGATATGCCTCCCCTGGAGCTGACAGATGTCTGCAACACAGTGTTTAACCTTGCAGGCAAAGCTTCAGAGCCATAGATATTTCCTGGCCAGGAACACATAAACAAATTTTTCTGTACTTGTCTGCATACACAGTAGACAAATGTTCAGCCTCATTCCTTGCATCCTTGTCGTCTGGATCCTACTGCATTCTACTGTCGTATTAGTTGTTCAGCCTGTGAGAAGACCAAAGTCAAGGTTTTGTTCAAGTTCTAGTTGTTGTTTGGTGCTCACTTAAGCACGTTCACAAACAAAAGTGGCTCTGTGATCCCTTGTGTAAGCAGCACCAGAGGTGTAAAGTGGCATGGTAAAAATGCAGCTAACATGACAACTGATTTGGTGAATACCTCATCACAGCCTCACAAAGATCTCATATTCAACTGGGAAATAAAGGTGGGAAAACAAACCAACCAGCTGGAAACCTTTCAAGATAGTAACTATTTCTGCTCATTTTTCCAGGTGTAGCTACTTTGCTGAGAACTTGTGTTAAGTTCTGTGAAGTCAAGATGAAATATGGAGAAATTCAGTTCAATCAGGTAATTGAGAGAGCATCCATCCCAGATGCGCTCCTCAATTCTGAGAAATGTTGCTCCTGCTACCAGGAGCATTGGGTCCTGAGGCACAAGCAATAAAAGGCCCAGGAGAGCAGCAAGTTGCAGCAGTTAACAGTGAAGTCCCACAGACACTGTCTTCTTGATGTAAGTGAAGTAAATCTAGATAAATCCTATTTAGAGCAAACTGCAAAGATCTGTCAGGTTGCACCCTGAGGCTCATGCAAGGTTTGCACAGTGCCAGAGTAGGAAACATTTATTTTCCATTATTTTCAATATCAGCCCCAATAGTGTTCCTTACCTCTGTTTAGTCCTGTGTGTGCTGTGGGAATAACATTTACAGGCTGTGCCTGTCTTCTTCCTTTGTGCCCTCCCAAGATGTGCCTGAGCCACCCAAGTACGGCAGTCCCTCCAAGCAGCCAAAGCGAAAATCCGTCTATGTAGTAGTCTTGGCATGTGTTTGCCCTGGCTGCTTTAAGGACGGGGGAAAGAAAAAGGATTAACCAGCTCATGGAACAGCTGAGGTGGTAGTGAGGCTTACTGGCAGAGACCGGAGGGAAAGAAGAAAGGGCTGGATTAAGAA